AGGTACGTGTAGCTATCACCCCTCATCAAAGAAGCTTTTTGCAGCAGAGACTGATAAAGAATACCACAATTGGTTAAAATGCAGAAAACAACTGCCTTTGAGGTACCCAACCCCTATCAATACATCTACAATGCCCCGACATCTAAGGTTCAGGGAACGTAACAGAAAAGCGAATGGAAGGATTTTAAGAGCCAGAGAACCAGAACATCTGCTGTGATGCATTGCACTTTCTGTATGTGCCAGGGAAGCTTCACCCATGAAATTTTAAACATGGTCACCTAAACAAGACCAGCACAATGATACTATCAGTAGACATACTAACACAAGTGGGGGAAAATCTCAGAAGACCTAGACAAAGAGCTAAAGACAATTAATGGATGCTGAGACAGGGAGAATCAGTTTTCGCCAGGAATGAGACCCTGACTGGCCCAAGTGGTCAGTCCTAAATAAATACATGTACAAACAACACTAAATGGACCAGGCAGCTGTGTGTGTGGAAGGAAGCAATAGGTGAAGATAATATAAATAGAACTCTCATGCATGAAATTCTCAAAATAAATTAAACTAAAAATTATAATAAACATTGTTTGCTTATTTGTCCCTGTATTTGCTGTGCTTTTTGGCTAGCAGAAATCTTTTTACTTAGTTCCCATATGTTGTGAAATAAGATGAACTCACCCATTTTTCTTTAATAATACCGAATCCTTCCTGATTTTGCTCAATTTAATTTATTGTTGGATGAGAATGCTGCTAGGACGATTGCTTTAAAGCATTATGCTCATTAGTGCTAGCTCCAAGCTCATGTCAATAAAGATTATTGTCAGGAGCCATTTCAGGCTTCTCCTTTCTCACATCTCACAGGGCCTTCAAGTAAAAATCTTGAGACAGAAAACTTAAAGTTAGCCGAAACATTACGTGCTGACTGTGGAGACTCAAGCTCTGGAAAGCACCACAAAGTGTCTTCAAGGCTTGCTGCTTATCACTAACAGCAGGTGTTCTAGCCACTGACCTTGCAACTGCCCTGCTTAGCTTCCAAACTGCCCCACTTAGTTGCCAAACTGCCCCACTTAGTTGCCTAGCTACGGAGCCCCTCCTTCCCTTCCCCCTTTCCTCAGTTCCCCCTGCCCGAGCTCCTTTCTGAGGAGTATTTAAGACATGAAACTTGCTTCAATAAACGAATGCCTTGACAAAGAATACTGCTTGGCGTCCGTTTCTCCCCCCGCCCCCCATGTCTTTCAGATAGTGCCTCTTCAGACCCTGGAATAATTTAGGACCTGCTGGGCAGGTCAGATTATCAAACAACTGATGGAGGAAGGTCATTGGCTAATAAAGGAACTGCCTTGGCCCATTTTATTGGTTAGAAGATAGGTGGGAGGAGTAAACAGAACAGAACGCTGGGAGGAACAGGAAGTGAGCTCAGATTCCACAGCTCTCCTCTCGGGAGCAGACGCCTCAGAGAGAGACACCATGCTCCTGGCTCCTGGGCAGATGCATGCGATGAAGCCGCCAGGTCAGACATGCTGAATATTCCTGGTAAAACCAGTGCTACAGTTTATTAGAAATGGGTTGACTGGGATATCAGAATTAGCCAGTAAGGGCTAGAGCTAATGGGCCAAGCAGTGCTTAAATGAATACAGTTTGTGTGTTGTTATTTCGGGCATAAACTAGCCGAGCAGGCGGCCGGGGTGCTGGGAATGCAGCCCCACTGCTCATATTACTACAAACAGCCACAGGCACAGAAAACAAAACCAAGAATACAGCTGCAGAAAATAAACGGCCATATAAGCAGGGGAAAATCATACTTAGAAATTCCAGGTAAGTTCCAAACAAGGTTTTCCAGAAACCTGGGCCTATAATATCAAAACAACCATGCTAGGTGTGATAACACACACCTGTAATCCCAGAACTCAGGAAACAAACACAGAAGGTTCCTTGCAAGTTCAAGGCCAGCTTGATCTATGGGGAAAGTTCAATGCCAGCTACTGTTACATAGCAAGACTGTGTCCTTTTTTTTTAAAAAAAAAAAAATAACCTATAATGTAGGAAATAGGATTTTCAGGAAGTACTGGAAAATTTTTTTAGAAGAATTTTTTTCTATGTAGGCTCGAAATGCCCCCAAAGAAACTGAATACAAAATTGTGCCTCATTAACTCTGTTAAGAGCCATCTTAACAGAATGTGGTATAAAGAACATTTAGAGAGCTCCTTACCAAAAAGTAAAAACAGAAATATTAATAAAACAGAAAGAGCACACTGTTATTATCAAGCACTAGCCAAAGTGCCCACAGTACAGGATACAAGATCAACTCCAAAAACTCAGTTGCCTTCCTGAGAGAAGCAGAGAGGGAAATCAGAGAAGCATCACCTTTCACGATAGCCACAAATAGCATAAAATATATTGGGGAAACTCTGACCAAGGAAGTGAAAGATCTATTTGACAAGAACTATAAGTCTTTGAAGAAAGAAATTGAAGAGGACACCAGAAAATGGAAGGACCTCCCTCGCTCTTGGATTGGGAGGATCAACATAGTAAAAATGGCAATTTTGCCAAAAGCAATCTATAGATTCAATGCAATCCCCATCAAAATCCCATCAAAATTGTTCACAGATCTGGAGAAGACAATAATCAACTTTATATGGAAAAACAAAAAACCCAGGATAGCCAAAACAATCTTATACAATAAAGGATTGTCTGGAGGCATTACCATCCCTGACTTCAAACTCTATTACAAAGCTACAGTATTGAAAACAGCTTGGTATTGGCATAAAAACAGAGAAGTCGACCAATGGAATCGAATAGAAGACCCTGACTTTAACCCACAAACCTATGAACACCTGATTTTCGATAAAGGAGCTAAAAGTATACAATGGAAAAAAGAGAGCATCTTCAACAAATTGTGCTGGCAAAACTGGATGTCAATCTGTAGAAGAATGAAAATAGATCCATATCTATCACCATGCACAAAACTCAAGTCCAAATGGATTAAAGACCTCAATATCAGTCCGAACACACTGAACCTGATAGAAGAGAAAGTGGGAAGTACTCTACACCACATGGGCACAGGAGACCACTTCCTACGTATAACCCCAGCAGCACAGACACTAAGGGCATTATTGAATAAATGGGACCTCCTGAGACTGAGAAGCTTCTGTAAAGCAAAGGACACTGTCACTAAGACAAAAAGGCAACCCACTGACTGGGAGAAGATCTTCACCAACCCCGCAACTGGCAAAGGTCTGATCTCCAAAATATATAAAGAACTCAAGAAACTAGACCGTAAAAGGCTAATCAACCCAATTATAAAATGGGGCACTGAGCTGAACAGAGAATTCTCAACAGAAGAACTTCAAATGGCCAAAAGACACTTAAGGTCATGCTCAACTTCCTTAGCGATCAGGGAAATGCAAATCAAGACAACTTTAAGATACCATCTTACACCTGTCAGAATGGCTAAAATAAAAAACACCAATGATAGCCTTTGCTGGAGAGGTTGTGGAGAAAGGGGTACACTCACCCATTGCTGGTGGGAATGCAAACTTATGCAACCACTCTGGAAAGCAGTGTGGCGGTTTCTCAGGAAATTCGGGATCAACCTACCCCTGGAGCCAGTAATACCACTCTTGGGAATATACCCAAGACAGGCCCTATCATACAACAAAAGTATATGCTCAACTATGTTCATAGCAGCATTGTTTGTAATAGCCAGAACCTGGAAACAACCTAGATACCCTTCAATGGAAGAATGGATGAAGAAAGTATGGAATATATACATATTAGAGTATTACTCAGCAGTAAAAAACAAGGACTTCTTGAACTTTGCATGCAAATGGACGGAAATAGAAAACACTATCCTGAGTGAGGTAAGCCAGACCCAAAAAGAGGAACATGGGATGTACTCACTCATATTTGGTTTCTAGCCATAAATAAAGGACATTGAGCTTATAATTCATGTTCCTAGAGAAGCCAAATATGAAGGTGAATCCAAAGACAAACACATAGGCATCCTCCTGAATATTAACCTTCATCAGGCGATGAAAGGAGACAGAGACCCACATTGGCGCACCGGACAGAAATCTCAAGGTCCAAATCAGGAGCAGAAGGAGAGGGAGCACGAGCAAGGAACTCAGGACCGCGAGGGGTGCACCCACACACTGAGACAATGGGGATGTTCTATCGGGAACTCACCAAGGCCAGCTGGCCTGGGTCTGAAAAAGCCTGGGATAAAACCGGACTCGCTGAACATAGCGGACAATGAGGACTACTGAGAACTCAAGAACAATCGCAGTGGGTTTTTGATCCTACTGCACGTACTGGCTTTGGGGGAGCCTAGGCAATTTGGATGCTCACCTTACTAGACCTGGAAAGAGGTGGGCGGTCCTTGGGCTTCCCACAGGGCAGGGAACCCTGATTGCTCTTTGAGCAGATGAGGGAGGGGGAATTGGTCGGGGGAGGGGGAATTGGTCGGGGGAGGGGGAGGGAAATGGGAGGCGGTGGCGGGGAGGAGGCAGAAATCCTTAATAAATAAATAAATTAAAAAAAATAAAAGCAAAAAAATAAAAAAAAAAATAAAAAAAACAAAGTTCCTAAAGTAATCAGCTAATTCAGTTGAGGAACGAAGCCTCACGTTGCTTGCAAAGGTTGACATTTAATCCATTACCAATAACCATTAAGCATAAGTGCATTCATTAGTCACCAGGCAAGGCACTGAGGGGAGTTTTGAAAGGGAAAGATGCACAACTTTATTCCTGAACAACACCAAGTGCAATGCCAGAATAGGGAACTGTGGGCAGCAGGGTGGACATGGCTGCCAGGGAGCAAGAGATTTTTGTCAGGCACTGGCCATAACCCCCATGCTGAAGATTTGGAAGAAAAGTTATAATTAAATCAAAGTACAAAAGGAAGAAGATAGCATTTGAATTTGGTGAGTTCATTGCAAATCTGATCATATGGTGACTAGGGCAAATAAATAAATAAAAGGTGGGATAGCTTTGAAGTCTTACCTCTGCCATCAAGCTTCCTAAAATGTATAGAGACTGACCCCACATGTGAGGCAATTTTCCCATGGGGACTCGATCCACAGTGTGAGGATTTTGATATTCTTCATCAACCTAAATGAAGCGATAAAGAGGTCAAATGAGAGGCAATAATAGAAAGCTTAAGATACTAGATGATAAAAGACAGTTTGGATTAGGATTTATAGTTTATAGGCAATGGATTGAACAGTTAAGTAGGGCAGTGCTCAAGCTATGATGTGTGACCAAATCTCCCAAGGATCTTGTGCAAATGCAGACTGTATCGGTGTGTTGGGGGTGGCTAAAACATATTCTTAATTCTCAGGTGACACTGCTGATACCACTAGGAACTTACTCTCCAAACCCCCACCAGAAGGAAAAACTGTGTCTCTACCATGTCTAATTCTCCTTGACAATGGTAAACAAAAACAATACTTGCTTAATTTTTCTAAGCCTCATCTACTCCAACAGTCCCTGATTACTGGCTTCAAAGGAAACCAAGTCCTGAGAGCTGGCAAAGGACATCAGTCTGGTTCCATGTACTGATCTGTACATTATTCTCAGAACTGAGATTTGCTTTCATTCATATCTTACTGTAAAGTAGTCAAATAATTGAGACTGCTTTAATTTATTTCTGAAGAAATTAAATCGCCTATTTGTTGTCATAATCTGAAAACCAAATTGTTAGAATATTAAGATCACCGGATACAAAAATCACAAAGCTATTTGACTCAAACAACTATTGACTCAGCATCCCAGAAATACGGTTCCTCTCCTGTCAATGAGCCAGTGCTATCCAACTTGCCTTGTCAGGGGGAACACTGTACAGCTCTGGAAGAAGTGGGACTCCATTTTTGCCCTTGATGAGAACTGCATCAAGAGCCTCTCTATATTCTTGGACCTGCAGAATAAAAGAAAGAAAAAAACCAAACTTTTAGAGACTTTCCGCGGAAACATAGCAGAAAGACACAGCCAAAGAAAGCACTACTACAAAAGAGCTTATTTAACCAAGTATAAGGGAGAGGAAAGGGGCAATGGTACTGTGTCAAGTTGACACAAACTATAATCCTCTGAGAGGACAGAGCCATGACTGAGAAAATGCCTCCATAAGAACTGACTGCAGGCAAGCCTGGAGACCGTTTTCTTAACTAGTGATTGATAGGAAAAAGCCCAGCCCATTGTGGGTGAAGCCAACCATGGGCTGGTGGTCCCAGGTTGAATAAGAAAGCAGACTGAGCAAGCCATGGGGAGCAAGGCAGTATGCAGCCCCTCTCCATGGCCTCTGCTCCTGCCTCCTGGTTCCTGTCCTGTTTGAGTGCCTGCCACCTTAGCTTCCCTTAATGGATTGTGATTCAGGATACATAAGTCAAATAAGCCCTTTTCTCCCCAAACTGCCTTTTGGTCATGGTGTTTTGTCACAGCAGTAGAAACCCTAACTAATGCAGGTTTATTACATGTTTTCTAAAGATCAAATATCACATGAATTTTTGTATACTTTAACACATTTAATTTTTGTTTCATTCTAGTAGGGATGTGTAATTGAAGCCCTTTAACATGGGGATTTGATGGAGGAAGGTCATTGGCTAATAAAGGCACTGCCCTGGCCCATTTTATTGGTTAGAGGATAGGTGGGAGGAGTAAACAGAACAAAATGCTGGGAGGAAGAGGAAGTGAGCTCAGAGACTCGACCGCTTTCCTCTCAGGAGCAGACGCCTGAGAGAGACGCCATGCCCCGCCCCCGGGATGAAGCTCCGACCCAGGATGGACATAGGCTAGAATCTTCCCGGTAAGCGCACCTTGGGGTGCTACACACAGATGATTAGAAATGGGCTAAATTAATATGTGAGAATTAGCCTAGAAGAGAATGGGCCAAGCAGTGTTTAAAAGAATACAGTGTCCGTGTAATTATTTCGGGGCATAAGCTAGCCGGGCAGGCGGCTGGGGTGTTGGGGACGCAGCCCCGCCGCCGCCCTTATTACTTCATATGGCGCCCACGTGGACAACTGCTTCCACATAAAGCCTGAGACAGCTTGGGAAGTAATTATAGAACAAAATGAAAGCATTGTGCCTGGTTTCTTGGTAGCAGCAATTTCTCGGTTCTACCCTGCTTGCTAGAGGCAAGCAAGCGCCTCATCTAAGAGAGGCTTCCTGACTCAGCTTTAGCTGCTAAGCCTGCAGCTCATTAAGAGGTCCTGCCACGAAACACTTAAACGGTGTTGACGAAAAGCTGAACGCATGCTTTTCGGTTTTCAGCCGTAGCAGGAAAAAAGCTGCACAGTTTAAAAATGCCGGCTTTCTGGGCTGTCCTGCCAGGACAAACTCTGACTCTTTTATGCAGGCGGTTTGTGCGGTTTGCAAGCACAGGCTGCTGAAGCTCGCTTACTGGCTACAGCCAGTACCTCAGCCATGAGGCTGGAAAGCTAAGGAATGGGCTGGATCTCGTTGGCAAAGCCACGCCTTTAATCCTACCCATATTGCTCAGTAATTTAAAGGCTCCTGTGGTCAGAAAAAGAGAGATATACAGTAAAGAGAGATTCAAAGACAAAGAAAATTTCTGAATGGTTTAAAGTATGTTAAAAATATATGCAGACTAAAAGTTGAAGTTCTTAAAGTAAAAAACAAAAAAAAAAGGAAGAGAGTTGTTGTGTGTGGTAGCACACGCCTTTAATCCCAGTGCCTAGAAGGCAGAGACTAACAGATCTCTGTGAGTTCAAGGTGTAGTAGCAAACACCTTTAATCCCGAATGCCTGGGAGGCAGAGACAGGCGGATCTCTGAGAGTTCAAAGACAGCCTGGTCTACAGAGTTACTTCAGGTCAAAGATACAGAGAACCTGTCTCAAAAAGCAAAGAGTTAAAAGTAAAAATAAACAAAATAGAGGTTAAAACAAAGCTGCACAAAGATGGAAAATACACAGAGAATCTTGATACTGTATGCTATTATGCTCTCTTTAAATTATTTAAACGCTGAGGAAGGAGCAACAGATGCTAAAAGATATTTATTTATAAATACTGCTGAACTATTCCAACATAGATATTATGAATTTGGATCTAAGGATATGATACTTTGGAAAGGAGTTTCTTATTTTGTTTTCACAGAGGATGAGACGCTGTTCATTTCTTCTATTCCAATTTGGTATGATGGACCACGCCCTCCTGAAGGGTTGCAGTGAACATCTTCAGAAAATTGCTTCCCTCAACTGCCAACTGAGATGAAACTAGCACACAGGTTATACCATGAAAGACCTAATTAACGACGTCCCCATTCAGCAGGAAGCAGTTTGGAGAGAAAAAACTGCGCCCATGTTCCCAAATATTGTTTATAAATGTTCTTTTACATTTAAAGGGGGATATGATATAGGTATGAATAATTTGCATTAGTATAGATTTTGCTTTATTGATAGAGATTTACGGTCAATTTTGTTATATGTATATGTATTTCTGATATTGATTAAGGTATTGTGATTGTGTAGTTCATTAAAAAATGTAATGTATAATTAGGAAATATAGGTTGTTAATGGATAATCATCGATAATAGTAAAGCTTGCAGTCATGTTAGTTAGATTTTCTAGATATATTGAGATATTTTAGATAGACATTCTTCATGTCTTTCAAAGATTACAGAATAGGACATTTAATGTTTTAATAACTGAGGACTTTTCATGACAATGAGACACTCTGCTCCTGGCAGCACCAATGTACTTCAAGAGGAAGATGGGCATCGAAGAGGATCCTTATGGAGTTTGATAGCCATTTGGGCAAGAAACTGCTCTTGCCTGGACTGTTGCATAAACTGGACACAGAGAACCCGCAGAGAGAGGACTACTGAACTTGCCTAAGGTGAGATGATCTTTCGGGGTTCCTGATTCATGAAAGAGTCTGCGAGACATTCTGCAGGACACAACAGATAGTGACTGAACTGACTCTGAAATTTCCTGCTTTGTGGAAATGTCTGCTGGAAACTATGGGCCTGTAGGCCGAAGATGGATGCCCCAATGGTACAGAGGAACTTTGGGTGACTGTCCAGGCAGCGAGATGTCTCTGTCATTTCTAGAGTTTTAAAAGCTGCTTACTTCTTGTTTACTTAGGTAATATATCTTTCTGGAGTCTTTGATGGAGTTAAGAATAGTTAGTTATAGTTATAGTTTTCCTTAGTTATGATAAAGATTATTGTAACTTTTACTTGATAACTGTTTTGTTATATGTAATTTTGCTATGTTAAAGCCTTTTTTTTTGTTTAAACCAAAAAAGGGGAAATGATGGAGGAAGTTCATTGGCTAATAAAGGCACTGCCCTGGCCCATTTTATTGGTTAGAGGATAGGTGGGAGGAGTAAACAGAACAAAATGCTGGGAGGAAGAGGAAGTGAGCTCAGAGACTCGACCGCTTTCCTCTCAGGAGCAGACGCCTGAGAGAGACGCCATGCCCCGCTCCCGGGATGAAGCTCCGACCCAGGATGGACATAGGCTAGAATCTTCCCGGTAAGCGCACCTTGGGGTGCTACACACAGATGATTAGAAATGGGCTAAATTAATATGTGAGAATTAGCCTAGAAGAGAATGGGCCAAGCAGTGTTTAAAAGAATACAGTGTCCGTGTAATTATTTTGGGGCATAAGCTAGCCGGGCAGGCAGCTGGGGTGTTGGGGACGCAGCCCCGCCGCCGCCCTTATTACTTCAGGGATTAAGTTCTAAGAGGTTCTGAACTTGTAGTTTATTAAGCAAATACCTGATTTAGTGTAGTTTACTCTGACTCAGTCTGTCTTCAAGGGCCTAAGTGATCTGCTTCTGCCTCCCAAGTGTTGGGATTAAAGGTGTGTGCCGCTATGACTGACAAAAAAGTTTTATTTTTAAAAATTATATGTATGCATATGTGTCAGTGTGGGGGTATATGATCATGTGTGCTGGTACCCTTGAAAGCCAGATGTGTCAGATCTCCTGAAGCTGGAGCTATAACTCTACAAGAATTTGTGAGCCACATGACAAGAATGTAAAGAATCAAACTTGGATTTTCTGGAAGAACATTATGTGCTCTTAATCATTGAACCATCTCTCTAGTCCTTGACTTGGCTTTTATTTTATTTAAGTTTATTTTTATTTATGTGTGTATACATCGGTGTGTGTGTGTGTGTGTGTGTGTGTGTGTGTGTGTGTGTGCACGTGCACATGCACGCATGTGCCTGCAGAAGAGGGATTAGCACCTCCTGGAACTGGAGTTACAGGTGGTTGTGAACTGTCTGATATGGATGCTGGGATCTAACTTTGGTCTTCTGTAAAAGTTGCAAATGTTTTTAACCACTGAGAAATCTCTCCAGCCCTTTGAATAGGCTTTTAAATCTATGTTTTTATTAATTGCTTTTAGTTAGTATATAAAATAATGGATTTTATTATGACATTTTCATACATGTCTATCATTGTACTTTGCTCGTATACACTTTCCCATTAATTACCCTTGTCATCACTCCTCTCTGGGTTTGGCTGCTATTGTGGTTAGGTTTATGTTATTTACTTAACGATTTGCTGAAACACAGTAATTCATAAACTATAAAAAGGGAAAGAGTCAGGATGCAGCTCAGTGGGCCTAGCGTGTACAAGGCCTTGGGATCATAAGAAGTAAAAAAAAAAAAAAACCACAACAAAACCATAATTTATGGGGGAATACATAGTTCTTTAACATAATAGCTTCATCCCAGCTGCTTTGTGGTATAATTAGGATATTGTTAAAATTCACAAAGTTTTAAAATGTGTTTAATAAATTAGGGTACAATTTAAGTATTGTGGAGGGGTTCCTGCAGGCTTACAGCAGGTCGGGGAAAATGATCAGGGTGAGATAAGACTGAAACTTGGATCACATGGATTTTGGTAACCGATGCTGGGCCAGGAATTCTAGAGTCTGACATCAGCTCATTTATTTTTGCTATATTTAAGCATAACACAATTTAGGGAAAAAAGTATTCTAATAACAATTAACTCAGCCCCATGAGTACAACAAAGTTTAAGACATGTCTGCATTGAAACTTTTTACAAAGTACATACAGCTTCATGTGTAAGATGGGTTCTTGTTGACTTAGAAAACAATGGTCAAGATAAGGGCGTAAGAAGAATGACTGAGGTAAATACAATGCCTGGCCCTAAGAAAACATAGAAGTTATTTAGGCTATTATAAGGTACAAATGATGAGTTTTATGGTTTAGAAGTAATGCTCAAGGTGTCAGGGGAAAGAATCTGGGATAAACATAATATTCTGGGTGATATGGGTGGAGGCTGGCTAAACAGATAGCGAATGATTACCAGGCTGCAAACTATATTTTCCCCCAGCATTCTGGGAGAACAGTCAAATATCTTCCCTCTTTGGAGAGATGAGATGTGTGCTTAACTTTTCTTGGCTTCTCCAGTGCTTATCTGTGTGCAGGACTGTTTTTGCAGTCTACAGAGTATAACATGAATTTGATGTTTGCTTATGTGCAATTTCTTCCTGAGAACACAACTGTGCTGAACTAAACTATTTAAAACTACACAGACATGTACTTACCGAACAAGGCCAAGGAACCAAATGAGTCTACATCTGTTGTTGAAGTGTTCCACAGTGTATATGACCTTTCTTTTTTTACTTTATTGTTTATTTATTTATTTATTTATTTATTAAAGATTTCTGTCTCTTCCCCGCCACCGCCTCCCATTTCTCTCCCCCTCCCCCAATCAAGTCCCCCTCCCTCGTCAGCCCAAAGAGCAATCAGGGTTCCCTGCCCTGTGGGAAGTCCAAGGACCGCCCACCTCCATCCAGGTTTAGTAAGGTGAGCATCCAAACTGCCTAGGCTTCCCCAAAGCCAGTACATGCAGTAGGATCAAAAACCCATTGCCATTGTTCTTGAGTTCTCAGTAGTCCTCATTGTCCGTTATGTTCAGCGAGTCCGGTTTTATCCCAGGCTTTTTCAGATCCAGGCCAGCTGGTCTTGGTGAGTTCCCGATAGAACATCCCCATTGTCTCAGTGTGTGGGTGCACCCCTAGCGGTCCTGAGTTCCTTGCTTGTGCTCTCTCTCCTATATGACCTTTCTTTAAGCACATCCTAACTTCTAAGCTATGAGCACCTAACAGCTGCTCTGGTTGCAAAATGGGTGCCTTCCTCTTGTTTTAACTGCCCCCATTCCTCTCAGCCCATTCTAACGTTTCCTCTGTATTTTGTTGTTTTTCTCCTCTGATTTCTATCATTTATTTTATTTTTCTTTTGTTTTCTTCCTCTTACATACAGGCTAGTGGGCAAAAGTACCAACCAGGCGAACTGGCACGAAGAAGGTCAAACACTTCTACAAGCAAAATTCAGGCTCTTTTCAAGGTTTAACTATCAGACCTATTGTAGCACTTATATATTTGACCATTTAACATGTTGGAAACTGTGCCACTGTTTTTATTTTTTTCCGACTAGCTTTCTATCATTTTGTTATGTACAAACATACATTTACTTATGATTGAGACATGGTCTTACTATATAGTCTTGGCTGGCCTAGAACTCACTGTGTAGTGCAGGCTACTCAAACTATTGGTGTATTATTTGTGTTTTAATAAATAAAGCTTGCCTGAAGATCAGAGTGCAAAGCAGCCATAGGAGTCTGCCATACAGGCCAGGGAGTGGTGGCACACACCTTCAATCTCAGCAGTCACACTAGTTAGCCACAGAGGCCAGACAGTTATGGCACACACCTTTAATCGCAGAAGCCACACTAGTTAGCCATAGAGGCCGGGCAGTGGTGGTGCACACCTTTAATCCCATCTCTAGAGAGGAATATAAGACGGGAGGAGACAGCTCTCAGACACAGTCTGAGGATTTGTGGAGGCAGGATTACCTATTTCTGTCTGAGGTAGAGGTAAGAGTCAGTGGCTGGCCACTTTGCTTTTCTGATCTTCAGCTTGAACCCCAATATGTGTCTCTGGGTTTTTATTAGTCGTGCTACATCAACTCACAGAAATCCTCCTGCTTCTTTCTCCACAGTTCTGGGATTAAAGGTGTGCAGCACTATACTAAGCCATACATACAGTTTTAGTACTGTGCTCCTCACCCCATTTTTCTATTCTATAGATTTTAAATTTCTTGACTATACATTTCATGGTGATATTTTCAAAGGGATGCTATCTCATTATAATGGAACTAACTGGCTTTTGAATTTACAGCATATCTTTATTGTGAACTTTCAAAGAAATTTTTGAATATTTTTTGAAAAGATTATTTTTTATTTTATGTACTGAGTATTTCACCTGCATATATGTATGTGAACAACATGGGTACCTGTTACCCATAAGGCTTAGAAGGTAGCTTTGGAGCCTCTGGAACTGGAATTACAGATGTTTGTGAGCTGTCATGTGCATGCTGGGAATTGAGCCCGCATCCTGTGGACGAGCAAAAGGTGCTGTTAACCAAGGAACCATCTCTCTATCACCCAAGGATACCTTTTCTAAAAATATTATTTGAGATGGTCCTGCTATTTAGCGTAGACTGGTCTCAAACTCTTGATCTGCCTGCCCTAGCCTGAGTCCTGAGATTACAAACATGTGTCACCGCAGCAAAAAATCCTTTTTAGAAATACAGAAATTTGTGGGCTACAGTGTTATACTTCAACTCACGTATATGGTGTATAATGATGAAATTGAAGTAATTAATATTTTAACATCCTTAACTTGACAATGTTCTTTAATGAAAGAAAAAAAATCTCACCTACAGAGGCAATGAAATCGAAGAAGTCACTGACAACACTTGGATGGTCAGGATTGAAGAAAAAAAAAACAATCTGAGTTTCTCAAATTTTTTTTGTAGCTGTTTTGTTTTGCTTTTGGTTTTTCCAGACAGGGTTTCTCTGTGTAACAGCAATGGCTGTCCTGGAACTCATTTTGTAGATCAGGCTGGCTTCAGAATCAACAGAGATCCACCTGTTTCTGCTTCCTGAGTGCTGGGATTAAAGGTGTGCGCCACCACTGCCCAGTTAGAATTTCCCAATTCTTTTTTTATATAGTAACTTTTCTTTTTTAATTTTTTAAATTTACTTTTTAAAATTTCATTTTACATTCCAACCACAGTGTTCCCCAAATCTTAATTCACTATTATCAACTACAAGTCTCTAGGAGACAGACAACTCTATGTGGTAGTCAGAAGACTCCAATTTGGGGGAGTCAATACAGATAGAGCCATTAACTGAAAGAAGAAGATACAACAAGAGCAGCTTGCTCAGAGCTCTTCTCCCAGCTCATTACCTGTTCTGCGTTCCCACTGAAGACTCCATCAAGGATAAAGTATGTCCAGAACAATGGCCATTCGCACTCAATGTTTTCAAATAACTTCAGCTCAGCTGGTTCATAGTATAGACGATTTGGATCCTAGACAAAAATAGAATAAAGTCTGTCCTGTCGCTCAGAGATTGGATTTATATCCTTAGTTTAGAGGTATTGTAGTAGGAGTTTTACTAGACCATCTGTTTCAAAGATGGCATCAGGGAAGCAAGTGCTCTATGAAAACGTCCAATGACTAGTCTTGAAATAATAAGGAATCACAAGAGATATACGAAAATGTGTGTTACTTTTCTTGTTCCATGATAAACTAATCTGACAAAATCAACTCAAGTGAAGCAAGAGTTTACTTTGGCTCACAGTTCAAGGGTACAATTCATCATGAAGGACAGAGAAGGTGGCAGAAGCTTCGGCAGCTGATCACAACTGCTTCTACAGTCAGGAAGAGTACAATAAATGCTGGAATGCAGCTAGCTTTTCCTTTCCATGCAGCCCAGGCCTTCAACCCAGGAAATATTGCCACTCGCTTTTAGGGTAGATCTTCCTACTTTAATTAACCTACTAATACCCTCACAGGTATAACCAAAGGCTCGTCTCCTTGATCCCGTCAAGCTGACAATATTAACTAACCATCAGTGTAGGACTGCTTTGTAATCAACCTGAGAGAGGCAACACTAGGCACAGATGGCCTTTGTGGGAAAGAATGAATGGCCTGTACAAGAAGGGAATCCTGGCAAGTCTTCAGAATGAGGGGATCCAAAGACAGAGAGCCAAGAACCATGAGAGTGCAGTACTGTGGAAATCCAAATGGAAAAAACTTCAAGAAAAGGGCAAAAGTCAAACTCCGGGCTGAAGAAGAAAGTAGAAGTGCGGAAGTAGACAAGATTTCACACTTAATTTAAAAAGAACATAGTTCCTCTCTTCTGTGTGGTGCTGGGACTGGAACGCAGGGCATTGAGCATGCTACACAAGCACTCATAATAGTTCTTGAAAAGCTGGCCCAAGCCATACTTTTTTTTTCAAGGAGAACTTTTGACTAGTAAAACTAAAGGAACTTATATTTTCACAAACAAGTTCTGTTTATAACTAACCAAATACAAACTACTAATCTTGGAACAGTTTAGGTTTGGTGTCCTTAAGGCTTGATGGGCTGATATTTTATCCATATTGTGAAGTACTAGTGGGGAGAAATGGAATAAACTACAGAACTTAGAGGTGGAGGCTGCAGGACAGATCAGGATTCAGTAAGGCCATTAGGGTGGAGACTGAGCCTCTGGCTTTGTCAAAAGGAAAGAGACCAGAAGGGATTGGGGCACACCAGTACTCCCTGGATCACACCTTGGGATTCTTGTCAGCAGATGTGGACCTCTTGATTCTGAGCCTACAGAACTGTGAGCCCAAGTGTACCCATTTTACAACTCAGTCTGCGGTACTGTGTCCCAGACAACAGAAAAGGGACTACGACAGGCAGACAAAAAGATGTACTGATGGAAAGTGCCTTTCCTTTGGATTGATTAAATATTTTGGGGGCATATTTGGATATTATGTAAATGTTATTTGTATTTAAAACTGTCCATAGATTTTAGCATCTATCGGTAGTTCTTTCCTTAAACTAATCAACTAAAAGAAAGGAAAAACAGCCTTTATTTTATTTACTTTTGAACATATTATTATTATTAATTTATTTACTACCGATGTCAAAACTTGGCAGCAAAGTCCAATAAATACAACAAACATCACTTATTATTCCCTTTAATGATCTGCAAAAATTCTATCAGCAAGGTAACTTATCTCTGAATGAGGCTACAAAGAAAAGGGACAATTCTGCCCAATTTCCCTGTGGTGAAAGGAAACCTACCTTTTTTTTAAGGCTTATTTATTATGTATAGAGTTCTTCCTGCATGTACACTTGCCACCAGAAGAGGGCACCAGATCTCATTGTAGATGGTTGTGAACCACCATGCAGGTACTAGGAATTGAACTTTTGACCTCTGTAATGGCAGCTAGTGCTCTTAAAAGCCGAGCCAGCTCTCCAGCCCCAGAAACCTACCTCTTTAGGAGTTTTATATCCATCTCGTAGAAAACGACAGCAACCATAACGACCCTGGGGACACAGAGAAAAAGGCCCTGAAGTTTGTATATCTGTATGACTCCACAAGCAGAAGCACATCCTCAAACATCTCCATGTACCAATCTCTCACCACCACAGACACAGAACTCAAAATCAGCTCAGCAGCAGCAACAGCAACAGCAGCAATGTCCTTTCAAGCAAGAAGTATGTTACAGGTTCTTCCCCAAAACAGCATGCTTAGCAGTATCTTCTCCACGACTGTCCACCTTAGGCCAAGCCTACAACAAGCTAATTACCAATCTGTGCAGTTCTTCCCACAGTACATACAGCTCCCAAGAGACCATAGTTTATTTTTTAAATATATTTTCAATTTTTTGAAATTATCTTAGACTTATAAAAGTTACAAACACTACATACTCTCACTATGCCCATCAAATCTCATCTCCTTATATTAACTAATGTAACTACAGGAACATACATTAGAACTAAAACTTAACTTTGATATGCTAATATTAATTGAATTATAAAACCTATTTAGATTTCACTGAGTTTTCAATCACTGTCCTTTTTTATTCTATTCCAGGATCCAGTTCAAAATCCCACATCACAGGACTCAGGTGATGGCCCAGTGGGTAAAGTATTTCCTGAGTAATCATAAGGACCCAATACTCAGTATTTGGATCATTTTCTTTCCTGTCCCCCAGCTCCTCCCAGATCCTTCCCATCTCCTCACTACCCACCCAACTTTCATGTTCTCTGTTTCTCTAAGAAAGAAAAACAAACAAAAAGAAAAGCAGGAAGATTAAAAGTACCAAAATAGGCCAGGCGGTGGTGGCGCATGCCTTTAATTCCAGCTCTCAGGAGGCAGAGGCAGGAGGATCTCTGGGAGTTCAAGGCCAGCCTGGTCTACAAGAGCTGGTTCCAGGCCAGGCTCTAAAACTACAGTGAAACCCTGTCTCAAAACACCAAAAAACAAACAAACAAGCAAACAAACAAAAGTACCAAAATAAAGAACATAGCATCCAATCTGTGTTGTCTTAGACATGGAACCTACCCTGGAGTGTGATTGGTAACACTCACTGACACTCCATTAGAGAAAACTGATTTTCTCTTCCTGGCAGACATCAATTGCAAATAACTTCTTGGTTAAGGATGGGATTTTGTGTTCATTTCCCCTTCTCTATACTAAGATTTTGTCTGGTTTGAACCCGAGTAGATCTTGTGAGTACTGTCACAGTCTCTGAGTTAACATGGTATCAGTCCTATCATGTCTGGATGGCACTGTTTGTTTCCTTTGAGTCATTCACCAGCTCTGTCTCCTAAACTCTTTATGACTCCTCTTCCACATAGATTCCTGAGCCTTGAGGCCAGGGTTTTGGATGAAGACAACCCATTTAGGGCTGAGTGTTCCAAAGGCTTCTTACTCTTTGCACATTGTCCACTTGTGGGTTTCTGTGTTAATTACCATCTACTGCAAGAAGAAATTTGACATTAACAATCTTCTTTTGGGGGGGGGGGTATGAGACAGAGTCTCTCTATGTAAACCTTGGCTGTCCAGGAACTCACTCTGTAGACCAGACTGGTGAACTCACAGAGGATTACCAGCTTCTGCCTCCCAGGAACTGGATTCAAGGTGCATACCACCATGACCAGCCATTCCCAACCCTTTTTGAGTTCTTTACTTTCTGAAGCCTTAAGATGCTTCAGATCTTTTATATCTTCCCTAATGTGATCCTCAAATCAACCACTTATCAAGGATTCCTGATCCACTTTGGGGGGTAATGAGTCTGGGGAGAGGGGAGGTAGAGTAGGTAGATAGGGAAGGCTGTGGTCAGGATTTAGTGTGAAAAAAAGAATCATACTATCTCAGAGATTATTAACTTGTTCTTTTTACTATTGAGTAGTATTCAATAGGGATAGAGTATAATTTGTTTCTCAGTTGAAGGTGGTTTCCAGGTTCTTGCAATTATGGCTGAAGCTGCTACAGACATTTGTGAGTTTTCGTGTGAGTGTACACTATCAATTTTAGGGGAGATACTGAGGAGTAAGGTGTAACATGAAGGGGGCCTGGCTTGTGGTTTGTGTTTTCTGTCCTGCCCAGTACCCGACAACTGTTTATCCCCAAAGAAAATCACACATTGGTCTCCATTAATTATAAGCTGATTGGCCCATTAGCTCTAGCCTCTCACTGGCTAACTCTCACATCTTGATTAACCCATTTTTCTGATCTATGTTAGCCATGTGGCTCAGTACCTTTTTTCAGTGGGGCAGATCACATCCTGCTGCTTCAGTGGTCTGGGCAGGAGTGGGAGGAATCAACTTCCTCCTTCCCAGAATTCTCCTGTTCTCATTACATTATTTCTACTTCCTGTCTGGTTTTCCCGCCTATATTTCCTGCCTGGCCAATAAGCGTTTATTTAAAACATGATTGACAGAATACAGACAATTCTCCCACACCAGTAAGGATGTTTGTGGGATCACACATTACATATGTGCATATATACTAAAGTTATATATAAGAGTATGCCAACTGTTCTCCAAAGTGTATGTCCCATTCCCAACAGTAATGACTGCTTTTGAAAGCTTTGTAGAGAAACTACTGACAAGAGCGTAACTTAAAGGTTTCTTGAAATTCCTGGCATATGTTATACTCAAAGGCCTAAAAGCACTAATCTTCCTTTAAACTCCCAGCTCTAAAGAGAAGAAAGGCACATGTGTACATACCTGAAGCTTGGTGATGATCTCCTGTTTGGTGAGCTCTACCAAATGGCTGTCCTCTACAGCAAAGGCTGGGAAAGAGATCACTGACAGCAGACTGGCATCAACTTCTTTGGATGTTGAAGCCCGGGGCAGCAGTGAATTTAGGATTGACTAAGAGAAAGGTAGCAAAATATAGTTTATTATTAGATACTTTTGTTAAGAGGTGAGACCAGGAGCTTTGGTTCAAAAAGATTTATGTGGAACAAAAGCTTTCAGAATAAAACCCAAATTTTATTAAAAAGTGAGATCCTAAAAGTAGCTTGCTTGGTATTGAATCCCTTTTCTTTGTCCTGCTCTCAATGCTTCCCCATTGTGATTGGAAAGCATCTGTGGGACACACACAACCCTGTTGGTTTCTTAGGCTCTAGATAAAAATAAAGCTGAGGTTAGAAAGATGAATCAGTGGTTAAGAACACTGGTTGTTCTTCCAGAGGACTGGGCAGCTCACAACCATCCATAACTTCAACACCCTTTTCGACCCTGCATGGGCACAAGGCATGAATATGGTGCAAATATATACCCAGACCAAACCCCCATACACACAAAATAATAAATAAATTTTAAATAATAAAACTAAGACAAACTACAGCTTCTGGGAAGAGTAGGGGAAGGATCAATTATGCCTCTAAGATATTTTCAAATTAATTTTCAGCAAGTGTGAAAAATAATGGGTTTCTTTATATTTTAGACACATATATCATTGCACTTAGCTATTTTTTCACCCATATTTCCATACCCCCATTTTACTCCTGCTAATCTTTTTCCTATCTACAAATGATCCTTTTCTTCTTCCATGACATATTTTATCCACAGAAAATGTTTTCGAAATTAGAAGCTGAAATTATGTTCACTAGCATACCTTATAGGATACAATCAGGGCTGAAGAAAAGGAGAAATTTCACATACCAGAGAAAAGAAACTTTTGATACAGGTGACAATCATAAACAAAACTAAGGGTGAACTTTTACCAGACTAATAGTCTAATGTCCAAAAATCTAAGCAGAAAACAAGGGACAATGTTTCGGATCCACCCTTCTGAACACTTAGGTCATATCTTGTTTCCTTTTTATGCTTACAAAAAATGATTCTTGGAAAATGAAACCACAGGCCCTTGATATAATAGCAATAGATAGCTGGTTATACTATGGTGGGTTCATTTTATAATTATAACTGAGACAAGAAGACCGCTGTGGTGGTTTGAAGTTTCAGATGTCCAAGCCAGTCGCAGTGTCTTTTTCTTCCTGCTGCATGTGGATCCAGATGTAGAACACTCAGCTCCTCCAGCACCATGTCTGCCTGTGTGTTCCCATGCTTCCTGCAATGCTGATAATGGACCAAACCTCTGAAACTGTAAGTCAGCCACCCCAATTAAATGCTTTCATTTATAAGAGTTGCTGTGGTCATGCTGTCTCTTCACAGCAATAGAACACAGATTAAGACAGAAGTTGGTACCAGGGACTGAAGTATTACTGTGACAGGCCTGATCATATTGTTGGTGGAATGTGTGGGCTTTGGGACTTTAGATTAGTAAAGCAGCTGAATGCTTTAAAATGGGTTTAATGGACAATACCATTAGGAATGTGGAAGATATTGGTGCTGAGAGCAATGTAGATTATGACAGCCTGGCTCAAGAGGTTTCAGAGGAGAGAAATATTAGCAAGTGGCCTAGAGACTGTTCTTGTGATATTTTTGGCAAAGAATGTGACTGCTTTATGCCCTTGTCAAAAGTTTGCCTGATGATAAATTGAAGAATTCTGGTTTAATGGCATTGGCAGAGGAGATTTCAAAACAGCCTAGTATAGATTCTGTTTCATGGTTATTAGTGTTCACTCTTATGCATGTCTATAATGAAAATCAGCAAGCTGAGCAAAGAAAAATACATAATGTACAGTTTGGGGAAAAGGGGGGGGCACCAGGAAGTGTAATGGCACTAAGTTCAGTGTTAAGGGAGATAAAAAACTAAAAGAAAAGCCCGATGCTAAATAGAATAAAGAGAGTGGTGACCTCATGGCAAGATCCCACCCAGCTAAGTTTCCAACTTGTGAAAAGGAATTAAAGAAAATTTTTAAGCAGTGAAGAAAACCACAGAAAACAGAAAGCTCATGCAGATAAAATTGAACCAGATGTCCCAGCCCCAGCAAGCAGCAGAACTTGGCAGCTTCAGTTATATGATTCTGGCTTAAGAGCCAGGGATACAAGAAAGGGGTTGTGGAATTTCTCTTCACTGCAAAGAAAGCCACGGAGGCCAGACATGTTTAGGGGTGTCCCTGAATGGAGGCCCAGAGAGGCCACTGCATGAAGTGGGGAAGGTGAAGCCTTGATTGTGTTGGAGATCCCAAAATGTTGGAGATGGCAGAGCTATGGGAAACCTGCCAAAGAGAATTGCTAACAGTGAGTGAAGCCAGTCCAAGAGAGAGAAGTGTGTTACAGTCAACAAAGCTGGAAGGAGTTGGAGATCAGAAGAACATTTTGACATCAGACATGGAGATGTAGTTTGGAGTTTGCCCAGCTTGTTTTTGGTCTTGCTTTAATCCAGTATTTCCTCACTGCATTCCCTTTCTCCCTTTTGGAATATAATGTATATTCTGTGTCACTGTATGTTGGAAGCATGCGATCTGGTTTTTTTTTTTTTTATTTTGCTTTTACAATTAAGAGATTGCCAGGAGTCTCAGAAGGGTTTTTGGACTTATGCCTTTTAAACAGTGTTGTGACTATTATAGACTATGGAGACGTTCAAAGATGGACTGAACACAATGTTGAATTATCTTATGGCTACAAGCCTATGGTAGTCAGGGAGTGGAATGTGGTGGTTTGACTAGGAATGGCTCCCACAGGCTTATATATTTGAATGCTTGGTCAGCAGGGAGTAGTACTACTACAAAGAATTAAGAGGTATGGCCCCATTGAAGGAAGTGTGTCATTAGAGGTAGATTTTGGGGTTTCAGAAGCCCAAATCAGTCCCTGTATCTCTCTCTCCCTCTTGCCTACAGATCCAGATAAAGAACTCTCAGCTACTTTTCCAGCACCATGTCTGCCTGCATGATGCCATGCTTCCCACCATGTTAATAATAGACTAAAGCTTTTGAAACTTTAAGCAAGCCCCAATTAAATGCTTTTTTATGAGCTGTTGCACTCATGGTGTTTCTTCACAGGAACAGCACATTGACTAAGACAAACATTATCTATCTTATAGCTCATGCTAGTATCAGGTTTATCTTAGTATAGAATGGTTGATAAAGATGTTTCTGATCACATGGTAATAATAATGTGATGAACTGCTCTCTTTAAGCTAAAGCCTGTGCTAAGTCTGAATCTGGGCAAGAATAAAATTTGTGATTCCATGGTCCATTATTTCCTTACCTGGCAGTGTTGTACTTCATCAGCCAGAACATGGATAACTGATTGTGGCCCACCTTTCACACCAAACAAGTCTAATTCATCTAGTGCTTCCAGGGCTGCCTGTAAGAAGCAATGGAAGAAAGGGCAACGTCAGTGGCAGAACACATATTTAGTATGTGTAATGCCCAGGGTTCAAACCCCAGAACCAAAAGAAAAGAAAAATCAAGAATGATACATATATTTTCTTCTTAGTATCTTATCAATGTTACATGATGTTGCCTTTGATTATATTTAATGGAACAGAAAATAAAATAACATTATTTATTCCTAGGAGCTTATGAATTTTACTTTGTCTCACATACTGCCCAAGGGAAAATTAAAATTGAGTTCACATCACTATCCAGTCAAGTAGTGTGCTTTAAAAGAGTAATTTGAACATAGTCTATGGATTTATAGGGAATCATTATTTCAGCAGGGAAGCTCCAACTAAGATACTAGCACATAAGAAATGCTAAACAGCCAAGAAGTGGTGGCACATGCCTTTAGTTCCAGTACTTGAGAAGCAGAGGCAGGCAGATCTCTGTGAGTTCGAGGCCAGTCTGGTCTACAGAGTGAGTTCCAGAAAGTCAGGATTGTTACACAGAGAAACTGTCTCAAAAATAAAAACAAAAAACAACAAAAATGCTAAACACTGACATAGTCAGACCCTATCAAAAAATTGAGAAACAAATGAGTACATGTTTAAAAGTTGTATGGCTACAAGATAATATATGAATTATTAGGCACTGACTCATAGCTGAGTTTCCATAGAGAGGCAAATGTCCTAAAAAGATACTATATTTAACTTTTAAACAAATGCTATTAGTTGGTAATGCAAAGGAAAAAGTTTTCATGTTTTTTTTTAAAAATATACACTGTGTTTTCATAGATTGTAGTGATTCTCCATAGTAACAGATCTGCCAAAGTTATTCCTCATGTCTACCTAAATCTTTGAACCCCTTGATCATTTAAATTCTTCCCCTTCCATTTATCCTAGTCATCATCACTAGGCTCTACTTTGAGAGGTTGATTTTTTAGTTTTAAATATAAGTAAAATCATGCTTTAAGAAAATTGCCAAGTGTGGGGGCATGTGCATATCTGAGACAGAAGGGCTGGAAATCTGAGGCTGTCCTGAATTATATTGTGAGATTCTGTCTCATGATGTGGGATTCCCCTCTGTATGCTATGAATATGTCTTATTACCACTGGTTAATAAAGAAGCTGCTTAGGCCTATGGCAGGGCAGAATAGAGCTAGGCAGGAAAACTAAACTGAATGCAGGGAGAAAGAAGGCAGTGTCAGGCAGACGCCATGTAGCTGCTGAAGGAGAAAGATGTTGGAACCTTACTGGTAAGCCACAGCCTAAAGGCAACACATAGATTAACAGAAATGGGTCAATTTAAGATGTAAAAGCTAGCTAGGAATATGCCTGAACCATTGACCAAACTTTGTTGTAATTAATATAGTTTCTGTGTGATTATTTGGGTCTGGGTGGCTGGAAAACAAAAGCTGTCTCTGATTACAGTCTCAAAAGAATTTTTAGAAATTATTAATTTCTTGCTTTTCTATATGTGTTTCTGATGACAAAAGTAAAACATACTTTAATTTTTGAAAGAACATTTATTTTGTGTACACTGGTGAGGCATGCTCATAGAATTCCTTATTCTACCATGTGGGTTCTGGGAATTGAACTTAGGTCATCAGGACTGGTGGCAAGCACCTCTACCTGCTAAGCCAACCCATCAGCCTATTAATATTTCTTTTAATAATACTATATGAGCATATATGTGTGTATGATGTGTATGTGTGAGTTCAGGTTTGTGTGTGCCATGGTGCATGTGTGAAGGACAGAAAATGACTTGGAGAATGAGTTGTCTTTACTTTTACATGGGTTCTGATATTAAACTCAGGTGGCTAAGCTTGCATGGCAAGCACTTTACCCATGGAGCTATCCATTAGCCTACTGTTAATGTTATTGATGTTTTCTATTAGTTTTCTCCTTTGGTATCTTGCTTTTAAAATGTTTTTTTCTTGATTGAAAAAATTTTTGACTTTTTTGATATTTTTGAGACATAGTCTCATGTAGCCAAGGCTTGTCTCAGATACACATAAAGTCCGGGCTGACCATGAACTCTGATTCTCCTGCCTCTGCCATTTGAAGTAATAGGATTATTAGCATGTACCACTGATCTTAGCTGTACCTTTTTATAATTAATATAGAATATAAGTTTTTCTTTGTTATAGAAACTATTTTGGTATAATATTGTCTCATATGATTGTAATAAAATAAATTTGGTTATTTACTAATTGCTGTAAACCTAGGCTATCTTCCATTTTGTTGTTGTAGAAATAACACTTTGATAAATATCTCTTGCCAAATTGCAAATATTTCGAGGTCCTGGTTGGTATTTCTAACAATATCTAGCACACAGAATAGCAGGCTTATTGTTCAGCTAACAAATAATTATTTGTTTTCATTTTGAAATATTTAAGCATTAATTTCTTGAAGTAGAAGCACTATGCCAAAGGGTACGGAAAATTTTGAGATGCAATGTTAAATATATATACATATATATGTATATATAATTTACCAATATAAATTATACTAGCAGTACATAACAGTACTCTTCTTAATACAAAATATCTTAATTTTCTACTTTGAGTTTAAAGGTATGTTTCTGCATTCACTTGCTTTAAACTTCCAATAAGGTTAGATATTATCTCAAGTATTTATTGGTTATCTCTATTTCCTCAATTATGAGGCCAGCCTGACCTTGTCTTGGGAGCACGAAGTATTTCTGGGTGATTTCCCTGGAAAAATAACACCTAAACTGAGAGACCTAAGGATAAGTAGAAGTTGAGCAAGCACCAAAAACTCATTAACAGAATGGGAAAGAATAGCAAAACTACAGTAGATTAAGCTACTGGGCAACACCTTAGTGATCAAAGACAGAATCGATGGTAATGGGACAAATTTATATCGTGCATTTTTTTTTTTTTTTTTTTTTTTTTTTGGTTTTTCGAGACAGGGTTTCTCTGTGGCTTTGGAGCCTGTCCTGGAACTCGCTCTGTAGACCAGGCTGGCCTTGAACTCACAGAGATCCGCCTGCCTCTTCCTCCTGAGTGCTGGGATTAAAGGCGTGCGCCACCACCGCCCGGCTAACATGCATTTTCTGATGACAGATGATGGATAGCAGTGCCTTTGTGATGGTCTTCCTAAAAACACATAACCTGAATCATGAAGAAGTACCACACAAAATAAAAGTATTGGTTTGGAATACATAGAATAACCAGTTTAGAGCTGGGTAGCAAAGAGTCAAGGGCCATGGAGCTGTGTGGGAAGCATGGAGTGGGGTTGCACACATGTAATTCTTGGAAGGCAAAGGCAGAAGGATCAGTTCGAGATTACCTTTAGCAGTATAATGACTTTATGGCCATCCTGGTCTATGAGATATTACCGCAAACAAACAAAAAGTGAAGTATTAGAGGTGGTAGTACACATCAATAGTAGAGTGTATAGGCAGAAGACTCCAACCCTAAGACCAAACTAAGCCAATCAATCAAACAAAAACTAGTCTGTATTTTTCAAAAATGCAGGGTCAGCAAAGTCAAGACTATTAAGTATTGTGCTAGACTGGTGGAGCTAAAAACTGTTACAACAAAATGTAACTTGTTAGCCTGGTCTGGATACTGTGTTGCAAGGATTTTTAAATTATAAATGACACTGGGATA